GTATTGATGGAGGTTAAAGGTCCCATATTGTCAAAACGGAAATTTCCTGGCTTTTTTCACGATAACAGAGGTCTAGGGGCTATTTAACTACCATATAAGTTTCAAAACAGTAATATCAAAACCTCAAATAAAACTCCAGAAAGGTGTAAAATATGTGACCTTTAAACCTCAAATGCTGTGTAGCCACCTGACTAGTGACTGATCTCTGTGTGAAGATCTCTTTCTGAGTCTATGTAAGCGGCAGGCTATTTAGGAAAGGAAAATTTAAAAGATGAAAAAGAGGAATTAGGGAGGATCAAAAAATTGTTATTCTGTAAATAATATATAATCCCTAAGAAAGTAATTCTGATTACGAGTATTTAATATATTCTAATTACAAGTACTTAATTTGTGGAATCTGATTATGTAATCCAGATTACATGTAATCAGTTACCCAGCTCTGTCTAGACCACCTAACAACACCCTAGCAACCATTTAGAGAACCCTAGCAACCACCTGGCAAGGCTAAATACCCTTCAAATTTCAAATGTCTACCCAAAGTGGCAGTCTAAAGTGATTTAGACAATCACCTGCCTGACTTTCACACGTTCAGCAAACAACAGCATCATTCAGTATTCAGCTCTAAATCAGGATCCACTTCACGCACTTCAACAGTCCTCACATGAACAATACACTCAGAATGAACTACATGAGTCACTCTCTCTGCGCACATTTATCAAAGCAACACTTATACACTTTCTAACCCAGTAATCGTCCTTTTGATTATTCATGAAAAATAGCAAAAACAGACCATGTTTCAATCAAACATCACCTAGGTTATTTGTGGTGTTTGCTAAGTCAAGCATATAGCTCGCTTTAATGATTCAAACAAACCTCTTAATAAATATGAAACACATAAGTGCATAATCATGTGCCTTGTTAAAGATATTTAAATATATATTTACCTTATTCTTCAACGCTGAAGCAGGCTTATGAGTGAGAGTTCTGGTTCATTAGCAGCTATAGAGAAATAACGAAAAAGGTGCAGTAAACGGTAAAACTGTTTGCACTACAAACCAGTGTGTTCATAATTAAGATAATACATTAAAATAATATGGTAAGAACCAGCAATTTGCAGTATCAAGCTAAAAATAGCTGGAATTGGACGCGGATGGAGACCGGAAGTCAGATTCATAAAATGTACAAACGGCCGGATATATCTCGAAATAAAAGTTACCTGAAAAATATGAAGCGTTTATTTGCAATAACAGATAACTCCGTTTTTATTAATTTTTTATAAATCATGTTTTTATTGTTATCATGTTTTTGTGTTAGTTAGCTGTATTTTATTTTAGTTATTATTATTAAATCAAAACAACCCAACTGCAGTTTGATTGATATTAATTGGAATGCAGGATTGAAAAAAAAACATGATTTTTGAACATTATTAAAAACAGACCATGGCTGCGTTCAGCCCTGACAAAAACGGTGCAAAACGTTTTTTAAACGGAAACGGTGGTGCGTTGAACACCCTGTTCTGATGACACAAGAGTTGCAGCTATGGCAGCTGAGAAGGCCATTCTTTGTGTTCTTTTTGAAGAATTTTCGGAGCCTGATGAAATCGGTATAAACGCGTGTTTAATACGAGAAAACGCATCTCAAACCCCGTTGCACACCGTTTCCAGGAAACATGTCGTTCAAACCGGAAACCGTAGCAAAACGGTGCACACCGGTTTGAGCTTGAACTTGCCCCTGGTTTTGCAAATGAACTCTTCAAATGATCTATTTTATCCTGCGACAGAAATAAGCAATAAAACGCCTAAAACTAATAAACAAAAAGTTAGTAATAAAAACTAAAGACGTATTTTTTTAAATGACAAATACACAACACAGTTACTAAAACTTTAACCAAAATTAAAGTCAAAAATATAAAAATAAAACTGAAAAAAAATATCCGAGACTCCACCAACAACCAGCGCGAATAAAACCAGACTAATGCTGTGTAACTACAGCAGGCCAACCTACAAACCTCCCAAAAACAACTAAATCTGACTTCACCATCAACCATAATGCCTTAAACAGAGAAGATTTTGCATAAGCGCATAATTACATCATATTAGTTTAATAGGATCCAAAACTGGGGACTAGAACTTAATGTTGTATAAATGATACTTTTACATATATTATATTTATAGGATATATATTTATAAATTATTATTATTATTTATTAGACTAGTGTTGTATTTGATTTGTTACTACTAAATATTTACTCCAATATTGTTGTTTGACGTAAGCAATGTAAATGTTTTCGTAATGGTAGGAACTCAATTGAAGTGAAGTCTATGAGCGCCCTCTGCTGGTTATTAGAGTAAATGCATCGAAAAGGACAGATTTTCTAGCACTTTCCTGAAATCATCACACAGAGTGAACATATCTGTCAATATCAGTTACACAAAACGGTATCATTAATGAAAGCCTTTAGTTAAAATGAAATTGAAAAAAAAAAATGAAACAATAAACATATAAAAAATATTTTCATGACTCTCATACTAACTTGAAATGGCCACAAATTAAATTGTTTTGATATGTGGTCTATTATAATAAAAACAGAAAAACCTTAAAATATATAAAACATAAATAACTTAATGTATGACTCAAACTTAAAAGGTCCAAAATAAATGGTCTTTTATAGTAGAAAAAAAGATATTAAAATATTTTTATGGCTCTGTAAAACCTAAAAGCACCACACATTACTTTATGTTTTCAATAAATGGCCTATTATAATAGAAAATATATTATTAAAGTATTTTATGTCTCTGTAACTTAAAAGGTACACAATTTTAGTTTTTAATGAATTGTTATAAAACTCAAAACTTTACAATTGAACAGAATTATTAGACTGTGCTAAGATATTTAACACAATTTTAATATTTGCAAACGTTTAAATTATACTAGTTAGCACATCAACTATGAAATAAATATGACAAATTATTATTATTAATAATAATAAAAGTATAATAAAAACAAACTAAATAAAATAATACTCATACTAGAAAAAATGAGTGTAAAAATTAACAACAAAAAATAAATAAATAAAAATTAAATTCATAAGCCTTAAATAAAGTTAATGAAAAATAACAAAATAAAATATAAATACAATAAAAAGTAAAACATAAAATAAAAAAGAAATACACTGAAACTGAAATAAAAAAAAATTGTGTGAAAAATAAAAAATTTAATTAAAGGGATAAAAATAAAAACTAAATTAAAAAGTCATTACTAGAATAACCCTGACACAATAACATAAATCAATACTGACACGTGCAAAGAAAGGAGAAGCAGGAGTTCGGTCTTTTTCATTTATTTGGTGATATGTCACAGGTGACAATAAACTTACAGGAAGTTACTTCTGTATTACAAATAAAGCATCATCTGTACATAGAGACAGCTGCAGGAAACAAAAACAAAACCAACAAAGATCAACTGGAGTAAAAACGCTTTAAAAAGAGCCTGGGGCAAAAAAAAGAAAGAAAGAAAAAGAAACCGATCTAGAAGCATGAAGACGAACGCTGAGCGCGATGCATGTGGAGTTTGATCCCTGGTTCAGTGGCAGACGCACGGCTAAAGACACGCAGATCTATGGCAGCGTCGAGCTCCGGGACGAATCTAAAACACCGAGCCACAAACGTCTAAATATGGCACATTCACTCGAAGTGAGAAAGAAAGACAAACCATGGTAGGAGTTCAACAGTCGGGCTCAAAATCCCTCAAACTCCGGCTGCAAGACCCGCTTGGAAAGGCACGTGGTTTTTTAATAGTTATTGTCGACGTGAGCACATTCAAACATCTGATTGGACGCTTTGCGAGCGAACGAATGCTTGCAGAACAAAGACACGTGGGCTATGGGTGACGGCGTTTCTCTAGAAGTACAAAAGGAAATCAGTTCTATACTATATACAGAAGTGACGTTTACACGCTAATCTACTCTCAGACTATTTGGCTTGTTAATCGTACATCTAGTCTGATGTAACAGTGGCAGACAAGAGTCAAGCAACTACAAAAGTACGCAACAGTATTTCCTGCTACAGGTTTACTACGCCTAGATCTACGGTTTCCTCAGAGTAATATTAAATGTGACGCTCGCTATACTGTACACGCTTCGCTATCGTTCAAATAAATTAAACATTATTACCTTCAAACACGTATGAAATGCAGGATCCACATACTGTGTTGTTCAAATTAAGATTCATAGTGAAATTGTTCCCAGTTTTAAATAATACAAAATTTGACCTCAACTCCAACATCCTTCATTCGTTTAATAAAAAAAATACATAAAATACAAGTAACATCAGAAATATTGAACCCTTTTAAGTTTTATATGCGAGTGAAACTTGGGGAAAAATGTCCAGGTTGTGTTTCAGTCCCCGAAAAATGTAAAGAAATCAAAATATTTTAGTTTTAGGACAGCATTTCCATATTCTCAGTACTATAACGTGTCGGTAAAATTGTATTTAAATCAGGCAGTGCATTGAATACTATTAAGTACAAATACTAATAAAAATTCATCATATTTTTTTGGATAACAGATTTTTTTTGCACTTTAGTCATGAGAATCTGGGGTGAAATGTGCTTATTTGTCATGAAAATAACATCACAATGCAAAATATGTAGAACAGGGTTTTTGTTAGGTAAAATACAGATTTTTCCTAATTTTAAGGGGGAAAAAATGACCTAGATTTTATAATAATTAGTTTGTATATCGACAGGTGTCCTCCGCTACAGCAGGGGGCGCTGATAAAAATTAATACAATTAAATAAAACAATGGTCTAAATGGTTAAGAGGCTGATGAGATTTCCTCGTTTTGAAGAATAAACATAAACAGTCATTTCTAAAACATCCCACAATGCACTTCAGTCCAATATTGGCCGTCCTTTCGCAGCGATCGCAACACAAATCCATAAAAAACGAAACCGTCTGTCGCGAGGCGATACTGACTGAAGGATGGAGTGAGGTTTCTGGGTCATTCTCGACCGTTACTTAAAGATGAAGTTGAGAAGGACCTGGAGGAAGATGAGGAAGAGGATGATGGCCACATAAGAAGTAAATATATTTTAAAAACTACACTTTTTGGCCAGAAGACCTATCGTTTCATATTGTCGTGTGACCACGATAATATCGAGACTATCACGATATTGATAATATCGTTACATCCCTAAAAATAATACGTTTATTAAGTATGAGGTGAGAAGGCGTTTCACCTGTTAATGTCTTCCTGGGTTTGTCTGATCGACTCAATGGCACTTTGGATTTCACTCAGATCTGTTCCTTTCTTTCTGAGGCGGCTGTTGTGTTTGCACTTGTGCCCTGAATGAAAGATCATGATGAGTTTTTGGAGTGTTATTAGCATGTCTGTGTGTGTGTTTGACGTACTCTCGCTGCCTGAAGAGTCCTGGCGGTCCGGCTCCGGAGACGAGCAGCCACTTTCTGGACTTTTAGGTTTGTCACTCTTATGTTTCCGCTTTGGTCCCGTCACCTAATCAAACACACACGCCGACAAGAGAAGGACATTCACACGTTTCAGTCTTTATGTTATGGTTAAGACAGTCTGAATTGTGTATGTGATTCGCAGGCATTTTTGAAAGGCTTCAAACAGGGTCCAAAATGAACTTTTTTCCACATCTGCCAATGGCAATGAGGCAAGAACAACTTTACCAGCCATACATATGACATACTGGCCATGAAGCTGTATATTGGGTTCAAAAAAGACTATTATCCCTATAATAATGGGATTATTGAGCAGTTTTTCCTCTTGTATATTTTTGTCACTAGCTTTGTTTTCATCTAAGTTGCAAATTTGATTTCTAATTTTTTTTATTATTAGATTAATTATTTATTTAAAAGCAAATTAAATTTGTTATTTCTGTTATTAAATGTATTTATTTAAATCTTAAATTAATCTTAAATATTAAATAAAATATTTTTTAAATGCAAATGTAATTTCAAATAATTTTTATTTGTTATTTATTGTGTAAATGTAATTTCAAATTATTTTTATTTATTTTTAAATTTGTTATTTAGATGCATATTTAATCTCGACTTATTTTTATTGCATTCATTTAAATGTAAATTAAATTTCTGATCTTTTTATTATTACATTTATTATTTGTTTGAATGCAAATTTAATTTCCATTTTTATATGATATCCTAAGAAAGAATTTATTTTCATTTTTTATTACATTTATTTTTGTTTAGATGCAAATTTAATTTTTTATGTTTTTATTACATTTACATTTATTATTATTAATTTCTAAGCATTTATTTATTTTTTACATTTGTTACTGAAAGGCAAATATAATTTTGAATCCTTTTTTATTATTTATTAAAATCTTTCAGAATACCACTAAAAATATTGTGAATAAAGCAGCGTTTCCACATACAAAGATTCACAAACCAATGTTAATTTTGGACCCTAGTTGCAAAGACGCACACCTGATGCAACCAAAAAAACAAACAAAGATCACACAGGCATGCATGCAAGTCACTTGCAAATGCCCAAGAGCACAAAGAAAAAACAAAAGCTGAAACTGAGACAGCGGTCATGTGACCAGGTCAGGCAGCAGATGATTGGTTGCTGTGCAGAATGCTGATTGGTTGGTTGAAGAATGAACAGAAAGCGCAGGCAGCGGCAGGCGGTGATGAGATGGAAGCAGAGAGAGGGATTGTGGGTAGAACGAGGGAGGGGTGGGGACAGAAGGACGTACCTGGCTCAGGTAATTGTCCCTCCGGGAGCCCTGCTGGGTACTGAGACTAACTACACTGGCTGAACGTACCATAGGCGTCCTGTGGCGCACTTTGGTCTGAATAAAGCCGTCTTTCTCGAACTGAATCAGATCGTTGAGCGGATCCCACGGACGAGTGCTAGGACACAGAGAAACACACCGTCCTCACAGTAAACAATGCACTTCCTGTCCAGCAGGGGGCAGCAGGTGTTAACCCTGCTTCACACACACTCCATCTGCAGTGCATATGCCGTGCATATTTTTTTCCGCACCCATGTTAATGGATTATTAAAATTAATTAAAGCCTACTATGTTTCACAGTCAACACATTTGGCTTTTTGGCTAGGTTTAAAACAAGGAAAAGTGCACTTTTAGGTGAACAAGGCAATATGGCATTCATGGAGGTAGAAAAACAAAGGTATTTATGAACCGCAGAATTGCTTTTATGAAAGATTTAAATGCAAAAGAAAAGGCACGAGAGTGTGACTGTTTGTGTCAGTTGTAAGTTTTAATTTAACATTTTTTGATAGCCTACTACTTTTAAACATAAGGAAAGTAGACTGTAGGCTGTTTAAATGTTTTGCCACTTGCTTGAGCAACTTTATATATAAATGGAAGTAAAACGCATTGAATAAAACGTTGCTTATATTTATTGCGTTTAAACGTGAATGAAGCTATGAAAGATTGTATTTCTGTACTGTGTAAAAACAGAACCACAATGCTGAAGAAGTATTTTCAGTAACAATGTTTGGATTTGAAATTGAAATAATGGATAAATGTGACCATGGACCACAAAACCAGTCATAAGGGTGAATTTTGTGAAATTGAGATTTATACATCATGAATAAATAAGTTTTCCATTGATGTATGGTTTGTTAGGATAGGACAATATCTGGCCGAGATACAACTATTTGAAAATCTGGAATCTAAGGGTGCAAAAAAATTAAAATATTGAGTAAATCACCTTTAAAGTTGTCCAAATGAAGTTCTTAGCAATGCATATTACTAATCAAAAATGAAGTTTTGATATATTTACGGTAGGATATTTACAAAATATCTTCATGGAACATGATCTTTACTTAATATCCTAATGATTTTTGGCATAAAAGAAAAATCGCTAATTTTGACCCATATAGTGTATTGTTGGCTGTTGCTACAAATATACCTTATGACTGGTTTTGTGCTCCAGGGTCACAAAGGTTGTGTTTGTGGCAAACAGCTGCGGATCAGGAGCGGAATGCAAACTCATCCCCTGTGAAAGCACAATGAATCCGTGCTGCTTCTGCACAGCATACATAACGCACACGGACTGCATACGCACTGCAGAAGGAGTATTGTGAAACGAGCAGGCAGGCGTGACTTACTCGGCGTAGCGGTAATGCCACTCTCCGGTGACCGGGTCCTGCTCGAACAGAGCGGGCATCCACTCCTCACACTTGGCCTTGCGCTCGCGTGCCGCCTTCCTCTGAGCCTCCTCCAGGATGAACTTCTCATTGGTCGCCTCTGTCTGGTCCTTGTTATTGATGGCCCGTGTCACATGTTGCCACAGCCTGAAGATCACACAGAAACACTTCTGAAAATGTGTTCATTTTCCTAATTAGGGGTTATTTCTCTTGTTACTGAGCGTTAGTGATCACTCAGAGCCCTATTAAATCCCTTTGTTTTTTCAAATTCTGTTTCAGTTTTTCTAGATTGTTTTAATCTGTTTTAGTATTAGTAGATTTGATTTACAATTATTTTTTAAACATAAAATACATTTTCACGATACCTTTTTTCAGTTTAATTTCTTTCTGGATTCCATTTTTTATTTAATTATATAATAATACATTCATTAATTTTAAACAATAATTAAAGATTTAATAATTAAAAAATATTAAAATAATCTTTTAGGATTTTGTTTAATGTTTCTGGATTTCCATTTCTTTCTTGTTTTCTGTTTTCATTTTTCTGGATTCCATTTTAATTATAATTTAAAAATATATAAAATCATATTTCTAGATTTCTTTTTAATGGTTATTTAAAAAGCATGTCTAATTGATTTAATTTTTCCCAAATTCTGTGTTTTCCTTTTAATTTTTCTGGATTTTATTAAACCAATTTAATGGTTTAATAAAATATTAATAATCAAAATCATGTCTAATCAAGTGAATTCATAAAGCTCAAATAATTTAATCATTTATTAAAACTTTGAGAATAATAGGGCCCTATGAAATGTATTCAGAGATTCTGTAATGTCTGTTTTATTTTTTCCTGGATTTTTGATTAATACAAATGTAATAAAAACTGAATGCATAAAACCATGAACAATGTAATTAATTTAAAAAAATCCTTTTATTTCCTTTCATTTTTAGAATTAAAGCATGGACGAAAAATTTAAGTTTGAATAATTGCATTCTTATTTTTAGTAGTAGTATTTTTGCAGTTTAATAGTATTTTTGTGGATTAATATTCACAGACACTAGTTCATTTCACAATCTGATTCATTATACAGCCCTACTTTTGATTTATTCATAAAAAATAACTGCACTGTGTAAATGAGGTGATGAGCATGGTTACCTCTCGGACTCAAACTCGCCCTGTTCTTCAGGAGGGACGTTGCAGCGGATCAGACGGTTCTGCCTCAGCTCCGGCGTCGGGTTCCAGAACGTCTCCATCTCACCCGTCTTCTTATCATTGATGAAGACTTCACTGTCCTGTAAAACAAGGTCAAGGTCAAGTTTATTTATATAGCACCTTAAAAGCAACGAGTGCTGACCAAGGCGCTGCACAGCCAAAACATCAGAAATATCAACTAACAAAAGTATTAAGACAATATAAAATTTGAAATCATTAAATAATACAATAAGTAATGCAAAACATCACCAAACAAAAGAAACAAACAAACAAAACAAAAGCCTGAGAAAAAAAGATATGTTTTAAGAGATGATTTAAAAGAAGATAACGTAGGGGATGACCTGATGGATAAAGGCAAAGAGTGCGCACGCACACACACACACACGCACACACACTCTCACACACACACACCGTGGTCCATCTGACCTCTAAAAGACATCTAAGAAACTTAGTTTCAGGTCCAAATACAATTAGATCTGCTTAAAAATAGTCTTGCATAGCCAGATTTGTCACTATTCCGGCTAAGAACCGCCCACTTACGACAATTTGATTGACATGTAAAGTGGCCAAACACATTTTCGGATTTCTATGTAATATTTACCGCTGATTTCTAGTGATTTTTATGTGCAGATGGTCTGGTTTTTGACTATTATACTCACCCAGTGCCCCTCAAGTGTCGCCAGCACCTCCTTCCCGAGCTTGATCTTCCCGCTGATCTGATTCACGCTATCACTGCTGCCGAGGAACGGCTGATGGACAGAGAAATATCAGTCACGCCACTGAATCGAGTCACATGAAGCATCGCTCATTTGTGGATGTTGTGCCATTATCGGTGTAGCATTTGGTTTGTAACGGATGTGATGTGTGTGGCCTTTCTGTCGGCGCCCCACTGTTCTTCTGAATGTCACAAAAACTTGAAAACACCCTGACATGAGTGTATAAACACACACACCTTGAGTCTGAACTCCAGCTGAGCGCTGTAGCCCGTCTTCTCACAGGCGATGGACACCTGACCGCCCAACTCCAGAGTCATAGTCCCGTACAGGATCCCTGAGACACACACACACACACACACACACACAGCATGTGTGTTAATCTGTGGTGTATCTGAGTGTTAGTGAATACACCTGTGTGTAAGTTATTTTATTTGCACATGCTCTCTTATAAAATTGTCTTACAACAACTCACAAATCACTGGACAGACAGATGTTAAAACATGATGCTCGCTAAGCTAGACCTTAGTCTTCAAGAGATGGGTCTTTGGTAACACTTTATATTAACAATTGGACATTAACAAGATTAACAGATCAAAAGTGAAAAAAATGGAGAGAAAAAACTATTAAATATGTATTTTAATAATAATAATGTATATATATATATACACACACACACACACACACACATGAACACTTGAATTATAAATATATTTCAATATATAATAATAATTACTATTATTAATTCTAAATATATATTTAAATAAATGTATCATTAAAATGTTAGTTATAATTATGAAACATTTCTAAATATTTATATAATTACATATTTTTTATATTTGTAAATATACAATATATATATATATATATTTGTTTATCAATTTAAATGCACATTATCTAATCATCTGTTTAGTGTTATATAGTGCAATAATGCTTTTATTGTTATTAGTGAAAGATAAAGTGTTACCAAACTCTCATATGTTAACTAAATGTAAGACTCTAGACTGTATACTGCACACGTATCTAAACGAGTCCAAACGAGTTCCTCAACATGTAAACATACCTAGATATGTCCCTACAGAAGACAACACAGGGCACGGGTGTTAGTGGCGCAGTATGAGCGCTGTATTCAGATACTGTTAGCTGTGTGTGTGTCTGTGTGTGTGGACAGACCTTTGCAGTGTGCGTAGGGCATGTTCATCACGTAATCCTCTCCTCTGTTCAGAAACGATAGCCTGGCTTCACCGTCCAAGATGGCCGACAGAGAGTTTCCTGAGAAACACGGCAACAAACTCACAATCAGACACGCGTGTTGCACAAAATGACGTGATTTATCATCGTATCTTCTTACCGTAAAACTTGGACTTGGCCAGGATGCTGCCGCTGAGACAAAAGCCATCCTTCCTGTTGCTGACGTAAAAGGCTGAAACCGGAGGATGATGGGAAACCTGGAGGAGGACAGACACGTTATGTTGGTGTGAAGCTCAGTAGAAACTGATCTGAATTAAAGTGGGTTTTGCTGCTTGACCTGTTCAGCGATGTAGAAGGTTTTGCTGTTGGTTTCGGTGTGGATCCACAAACAGCGAAATGTTTCTCCAATTATGGGGTTGTATGGTTTCTTCAAACCCTGTCAGTGACAAAAATGATGAAAATATGACGGAAAACGACAGATTCCAGATGTCTGAAGGGCTGTTAGTGAATGTGTCTTTACCTTTGGCTTCTTGTAGAATCCAGAAATGTACCATTTGACCACTTTCTTCATACGGTTATAAGCGTTTTCCTCCACTGCCGCTCTGATGAGTTCAACAAAACACAATTACGGTAAAGTTACTGTAATAAAATGACCTAAGATCTAATTTGATGCCTTTGTGTGTATTTTTACCAGGGTTATTATTGTTAACTAACACTAAAACCATAAAAAACATTTCTGTTTCTTAAAATAAAACAAAGTGAAATTTTTTTTTTCTCTAAAATTACTAAAACTAAAATTAAAACTAATAAATCAAAATTAATAAATATTATTTAGACATTAAAAAGACAAACAACAAAATCAATAAACCTTGAACTAAAATTAATGTGAAAACATTAATAAAATCTAATTCAAAATATTACTACAAATAAATATTACAAAAAACTATAATAGTATTTCAACAATACCAAAATAACATTTGTTTTGACATTTTATTTTGCCTTTACACTGAGAACTATATGTGGACAAATTGTTTATTATTGTGAGTTAGTGAGTTTAAATTATTTTTATTATTGTTTATTATTATTATAAATGTAATTTATTTCATTTCATTTAATATTATTTAGTGTGATTTTACCATGTTTGGTCCACTTCATTTTTAATCCATAACTATGCTAAAATTATTTTAATATAAATTAAATATAAATAATTAAAATAAATTTACCAAATTTAAATAAATGAACCAATAATAATAATAAACCAAAAACAAATAAACTAAATATAAATGGTTTACCATAATAAACCAAAAATAAAATAGTTAAAATATTTTTTAATAAAATAATTTTTCAACCATTTTATTATTTATATCAATTATTTTATTATTATTATAAATGTAATTTATTTCATTTCATTTAATATTATTTAGTGTGATTTTACCATGTTTGGTCCACTTCATTTTTAATCCATAACTATGCTAAAATTATTTTAATATAAATTAAATATAAATAATTAAAATAAATTTACCAAATTTAAATAAATTAACCAATAATAATAATAAACCAAAAACAAATAAACTAAATATAAATGGTTTACCATAATAAACCAAAAATAAAATAGTTAAAATATTTTTTAATAAAATAAATTTTCAACCATTTTATTATTTATATCAATTATGTTTTTTACATAATTTATTGTTCCTAATAAGAGACTAATTTGGAACAATTTGGATTACATGTATGCTCCTCTCCAATGTCATTTAATTAATTATTTATATACTATTATAATAGTTCGCTTTTATTTTTACATTTTCATCGTCATATTTTTTATTTTTAGTTTGTTAAGAATTTTGTTCTTTTGTCATTTTAATTTTTTAATTTTAGAATTTATATTTAGCTCAATTTTTTTTATTTTAGTTTTACTAATACTAGTACTTCAAAAAAAAATTTTTTAATTTCTAATTTTCGTTTTGGTTTCTATTGTAAGATTTTCATCTAAAATGCTCATCTAAAATCATGATTTTGTATTAGTTTTCATTTGGTTATTTGTGAATATAAAGGCGCATCTGAATACTCTGAGCTGAGCGTCTGTGTGTTACTCTCTTACTCGGACAGGAAGTCGGCGTGATAGTAGTAATCGGACAGTTTGTCCAGGAAGGACCGTGGCTCCAGGATGAAGGTGGGCAGCACCACTTTGGACAGGTCCATGCCGGGCCGAACCTGCTTCAGGAGAGTCCAGATCAAAGATTTATTCTCCTCTGATACCGTCTCTGTCTGAGCCGCTTCACCAGCCTGAAACACACATACACACACGTTGTGTTTCCATGTTTTATGGGGACATTCCATAGGCCTAATGGTTTTTATACTGTACACACTGTATGTTCTATTGCCCTACACCAACCCTACCCCTAAACCTACCCCTCGCACCACAGACTTACTGTTCATCTCCCAGCTGTCTGCTGTAAAAATAGCTGTCTGAATATTGTGTTAGCATGTGTGCGTCAATAACACTCCACTCCAGCCAAACGCATGTGAGGACCTCAATAATTCATGATGATAATGTCATAATTTACAGTGTTTTTAGACGAGGGACTGCGTCGTTCACGCACCTCTCCCAGCTCCTCGTGGCTCTGCTCGATGTACGTTGTTTCCCGCAGCGTCTCGTTGGGATCGAGGTCGATGTACGAGTCTTCCTGACGCTCTGACGTGTCGCTGTCGCTCTCTTCACTTTTCTCCATCACCTCGTTTTCCCACTCCTCCTGCTCCTGCTCGTTCTCACGGTCCGATTTATCTGAGTACAGGTCTGGATCCTTAAACTGGTCGCTGTCGTTAAACCTGACGGATCACACAAACTCTCAGTTAATATGCAAACACAGGACTTGCATTAATCAATGACCAGTGATGCTTTAACTACTTCAGTTTCAGTCAATATGTGCATACAGAGTGAAACAGTCAGTTCATGTAATAAAACAAACTCAAATCTGATTTGATTACTAGATGTCTTAATTTGCTTTTACACTCTTTGTTTATTAAAGTGATTATTCTTATTTTAAATAAATAAATAAATAATAATAATAAATTATAATGTATTCATTTATTTAGTTACAGTGATTTTACCATGTTTGGTTAACTTCATTTTCAATTCTGAACTATTAATATTATTTTAAAAAATATATTTATTTAAATAAATAATTATAAATATAATTATTAATTATAAAATTAAAAATAAATATATAAATAGAAAATTTATATATATATATAAAATTTCAATATAAATAAAAAAATATATATTTTTTTTCTTTAAAACACTTGATTTTTTTTATGACAATTTATAGTTTTGGAAGTAAAAACTTTACTTCCAAAGTAGGAAGATTGATTTTTAATGAAATGATTTGTAACGCTATATGCTTTTTTTTTTAAATCACCTGTTTGCATTATTTCAACTTATTTTTAAAATCACATTTAAGACCTGAATTCCTGGTGAAAATCTACATTACCCATGATGCTGTACAGGAAATTCCACCAATCAGAGAGACTAGGCATCAAAAGAGCTTGCAGGGAACACAAACTCCCTATATATATATATATATATCCAGGATATATATATTAGTCGTTTTGTCAAATCATTTCTGCTTGAAATCAAAGTTTGTAATGCTGTGATTAAACTCATAGCTGCTTGGTTTGGTTCATGGTTTATAATGTTTATGAAGATGTTTTTTTTTTTTTTTAATCTCTATGGGAAAATAAACGGGAAAAAAACACTTCCGGAATCAATTTTGCCGTAAAAGTGGACGTTAATGCACTTTATTTTAAATGTGCATTTAAACAAAGTCATTTCTAATATTGGTCATGTGCCATAAAATACAAAGAACTATCGTCTTACCCAAGACTGAACTCTCACTTAAGATTTAAAGTGAAAGTCACGGCACTCCGCCGCTGAACGTCCGATATTAAAAATGAATACGCGAATGTCACTTCTTATCAGCGCTGAATAAAATATTCATCTCGAGAGCCAGTAAGATAATGTGTGTGTCTCACTGAAAGCCCTGCATGTTGTGTGCCCTCAGCAGACTGTAGAAGTTGATGTGCGAGTGCTCTGCGGTCTGCGCCGTCTCCTCTTTGCCCTCTCGGATCATCGTTCGCTTCAGCAAACTCGAGCATTTCAGAGCCAGTTCAAGAGCGTCCATCCAACAGCGGCCTGCACACATGACACATGACAGGTTTATAAAGACTGATGCTGCAGTAACATACAGCGCTCCTTCTGTAAGTCTGTGTGTTTGTGTCTCACCGTCTGATTCTGAAGCTGCTCTGAAGATCAGGTGGCTGCTGGGTAACGGCTGAGTGATGGAGCCCACGGCTTCTCCTTTAGGACCCTGAAACAAACATGAACATCATAGACACTTCATCCACACATAAAAACGAATATAAGTAATATTAAAAATTTGATGAATATTAAAGAGCCGATATTGTACATACTCTTATCATTTTTTTTGTATTTTATTTTTGTTATTATTATTGTTTTTATACCTTCCTTTTATTTAAAAATATATATTTATTTAATTTTATTTAATACACACAGTTTAATAGATGTTTTAATAAAAAAATTAATACTTTTTTTCAGTGAGGATGAATTAAATTGATCAAAAGTGACACTAAAGACATTTATAATGTTCCAAAGATTCAATAAATAAATAAATAAATGCTGTTCTTTTGAACCTTCTATTAAATTCTTTCTGAAGAATCCTGTAAATATTTTTTTTTTCTAAAAAAAAAAATAATATATTATAATAAAAACATTTTAATATAAAAATGAAATATAAAAAAATATTTATATTTTATTTTTTATTATAATAAAAACATTTAATA